ATTTAACTAGTACTAATAAAATTATAACGAGAAATAATATTGTCGCAAAATTTCAACGTATTATTACAAATTATTTGCTTTTATATGTATATAAAAATAATTTTATTAATAATATTATTTCTGTTTTTATTTTTAATGCTTTAGGCGTATCAAATGTTAGATAATATCAATTTAAAAGCACAAATATTTTTTGTATTCGTTTTCTATTTAGTTTGAAACATTCATATGCAAATATTTGTAAACGAAAACAGAAAATCTAAAAAAAGATACATATTTTCCGCATAATGTTTATCTGCAACGTGAAATTCTTTGTATTTATATAATTTTAAATAGCGTTTTTATCATTAAAAAAAATTTGTTTTTATGTTAAATAAAGAAATATAATTTTATACGACTTTCCTTTTATATACACGTTACATTTTATTTTAAACGTTACATATTATTTTAAAAGAATATATTATAATTAGTAGATGTATGATCTAAAGTTTGTCACTTTGTTAAATATTTAAATTAAATAAAGGCAAGAAAAGAGGAAAAAGAAAGCGTTGTCGTTCGTTCACGATGGTACGAAGTGATTGTGCCGCATCTCGATCAGACGACCAATTATTTTCAAGAAAAAAACGAAGTGAAAAGTCAGAGAGAAGAAGCAGATAGGTGCTACGAAAAAAAAACGAATGGCGAATATATCGCTAACCAATTATTCTTTGTGATAAATTGAAATATTTAAAAGCGATCTAAATAATTATAATAATATAAAATTTGTAATAGAAAAACTTTTATATGATTTATTTTTAAAATCATATCGGTATGCCTCTTCTTAGTTATTATAGATATCCTCTGACGTATTTCTTTATTATATAAAAATCAATTTTGAATATATTATAAAGTTATATAATATAATGTTAGATAAAGGTTTGTTATATATATTTGAAATGATATGATACAAATATGAATTAAATATACAGGAGATTCTCAGATTAAATTTATTATTAAATTTTCAATATGAATTTAAAACAAACAAAATTTTCCTCTGGAAGAGTTATTCGCAAACGCTTCGTTTAAAATGTCGACTTCTTAAGATATAGAATTATAGAAATAAATAATATCGAAAAAACGCAAAGCTTAATAGAGGCTTGCAGAATTCAGTTACTTTAATATTTTTTAGTTACATAAAATATTTTTGAAACATATATATATATATATATAT